ACAGGAGATTATCTCTGGGAACATAATACCTATCTCTCAACAGGAAATATTTAATAAAACTGAAAGTGGCACATCATATGAATGACTTAGGTTCTTAGTATGCTATTATCTTGACATGGTTAAGGGTTTTCAACATATTTGACGTGTTCTTTTTTAAGGGTGATGTTGCAGCAGATAACCTCAATGAAATAAAAGCAGGAATGATAAATTAAATGATTAAAAAAAACTTTAAAACACCTATTAGAAATCTCTGTAAAATATCAAAATTGGATAAAAATACATTTGGGAACCACTCAGATGTACTCCCTCTAAACTGGCTAAAATAAAACACCCTGTTGGCAGTGGGTGTGTGAACCTATTTAGTTTGTAAACACATTCTTGTTCATATGTTTTTATTAATTCAATAACACAAAATAATGTTCTTTTCCGGACTTGGAAAAGTTGGATTAGATCTCAGTATGTCATTGTTTATTAGTATTTCTAAATAAAGAACAGATTACGGCTTCAAAGTATCGCACACAAATGAACTCCCTCTGATATTTGGATAAATGTCCCTCACAAAGCCACAGCAAAACCCACACACTATTAACAAGCTTTGTGCACCATTGTGGCTGGACATTTGACCACTTCTCAGATCAGAAATGGTGGAGCTCATTTAAAGAGGTTGGTTTCCTGGCATGAACCCAGCTTCCAGGCGCAACACATGAGTTTTCTGAGGATTCGGGTCGTGGCCGTTCCAGAAGCTTAATAGTGAACTTGCTTTATCCTTTCCAAAATCAGCTTTGACGTCTGTTATGGATTGTTGTCGCGTGGGAATACCCAAATGTTGTTCACTCATTTGACCCAAAATGTCACCATCCGATAAAAGAATAATGTCAGAATAATGTTAGGAGAAGCAAATCATTCACCGAGACTCAAACCTGTCTTAACATCAGTGGCACTCTCTGTGTTCAGCGCTCAAAGTGTGGATCCATTTGATTTGTCATATTTACTGTCATTGATACCTTAAAGTTGTAGCTTTATTGCTACGATAACACCAGCAATAACCTTTTATGTTTTCATTTTATTTCCATTAATCTTATCTTTTTTTTATGTACTGCCCTTTCATCGTCATGCGTTTTTATTTTTCTTCGTAGGTAACGTTGAGTTGAGTGGAGTTGACAAGTGTCACTGTCCACAGAAAAATGAATTTGGCATCAGCAAGGGCTGAGGAAATGTCAACCAAGAAGTTATTGCCCCAAAATCAAATCTGGGTGACATTTACAGCTTCTTAAGGACAAGCCAAAAGCCTTCTGGAGAAAACATTTGCAGTCAGATGAGACAAAGACAGAGAGCTGCTTGGTCAGAATAGAAAAAAGAAATGACTGGAGAACCCAATATGAGGTTTCCAAACTGAGAACACTGCATCTGCTGTCAAGCATGGTGGTAGCAGCGTCATGGCTAGGATCTGTATAAGAGAACTGCTTGCTGAGCAGTGAAGAACTTCTTCAACTTCACTTCTGATGAACTGCTGGATTTAAATTTGGACACAGTCGGGTGTTCAGACAAGACAACTGTCTAAATGAGCTGGTCAAAGTAGTTTTAGATAAAGCAGACAACCAATGCGCCTCTGGAAACGTCTCACATTCACACAAATTAAGAAAATATCCAGCCAGGATTACAAAAAGAGGCATTCAGGCTTACTGTGGGTATGTATATGTTTGAACAGGTATGTGTAATATTCACCTTGTTTGGATCAGAAAGAATCCAGACTTGTGAACCCAGATTTTCTTTGCAAAGTTCATCAAAGTTGTTTGTTGTATAATGATTTCACCTGGGAAAAAAAGCAGGAGTTCAGATAGCTCAACAAAAGCCTAGAATCAGTATTCACGCCGACGATCGGTGTAAAGTGTGAAAATCAAATTCATCGCTATTTCACGTGCTGTTAGAAACATCAAATTCAGATTTTAATGGCAGTCCCCAAACATTACGCTGTTGCCAGCAGAGAAGTCAACCAGAGTAACGATGCATGCAATAAATCTTTGCCCAAAATGTTGCTCCATTTTCTGCGAAGGATAAAGATCTTGTATTGCAAGGTAATCTCTTTCCCACTGAGAGCATTAGAGGGAAAAAAAAATCACAACATAAAAAGAGATTGACAGGGAGCAGTATTTCATAAAGTATGTTTTATAATTTGAAAATCCTGTTGCTCAGCTGCACCTATATGCACATTAGATCGCCTCTGCAACCTGTTGGATCCTTGCCTGAAGAGGATGAGCTCCAGGCACACTGCCTGATGTTCACACGGCGTAATAACGCTTTTGGGGCTTTTAGCAGACTCTGGGCATGGTTCAATCTGCAGATGCTTTAATGGTGAGCGACATAATTAACTCCAGAACGAACAGGTCTCTAATTATGGCCTAACTGCCGCTCTTTCGCTCTTTAGCATCATGCTCAGGGTTTCAAAGAGGGCAAACGCTGCTGTCTTCCGAACCCGCGGATGTAGTGTCATGAGAGCACA